CTGAATTTTACTTGTACACACAGGACATTGTTTTAATTTTCGCATAAAAGCTTCAGTTTTCTGTTCTTGTTTTTGCAGTGAAATGTGATATCGCTGGTTCAACTTTTTGGACTAATGGATATCAATATATATATGATGAGAACTGTACTCAAAAAGAATTTTTTTTCAATGAATTCCAGCCTTCAAGTCCTGCTGATGAAAGAAAAGAATGCACTATATGCATAGAACAAATCGATACAGATAACTTTATAAATATTACAGATCAATGCAATCACGAAAACAACATGTGCCGCGAATGTGTTCAAAAACATATTAAAGCTGAAGTTTTGGATAAAGGCAATTTTAATATTTCATGTCCTGAAGAGGAGTGTCGTGAGTTATTACATGAACAGGACGTTAAAAAATTTGCTGATGAAGAAACATTTAGTCGGTATGATATAAGATTAGTATATTTAACATTTGTAAGAAAATTTTATATTTATTTTATATTATTATAGGTATGAACGGCTTAACCTACTTTATGCATTATCACAAATGCAAGATTTTCATTGGTGTACAAACCAAGATTGTGGCTCTGGGCAAATACATGACGTAGGAGGTAAATTACATATATTTACTATGTAAATTTTTAGCAAGATGTTAACATTTATCTGTTGAATTTATACTAAAAATTATTTCTAAGATGCTGCTCCAATAATGACATGTAGTGCCTGTGGACAGAAATCTTGTGTCTTACATGATCTTCCAATTGATAATAACCGTCTCAACTGCCCTGAATGTGAAAAGGTTGAGCCGACACGACCGAATGAATCAGAGTTAACTGAAGTCAAACCAAAATATAAATATTTTTCAATATTTAGAAGGTTCAAGTCTGAAAGGAAAAATCATGAACCTTCACAAACATTATTAGAATTAGAAATTGAGGAAAGAAATGCCAAGTTAGCATTAAAAACTATTGAAGAACGGAAGAAGGCTGAAATATGCAGGCAAAATGAAGAACAGAAAAGAAACAGTACAATGCAAAAACAAGAACAGAAAACTGAAGCTTTTATGCGAAAATTAAAACAATGTCCTGTGTGTACAAGTAAAATTCAG